CATCTGACGTCTGCGAAGATGGTGGCAGCATAGTATTGAATCTCTCCAGATCTCCAGATAAAAAGACAGCAACTAGTTAGCAAATCTCAATTCGTGGAAAACATTCACGACAAAACTAGGTGACAAGGTATCCTCCAAACCCTCAAAAAGAAATTGCTGGAGACAAATCCCCATTGTCACAAGACGAGAGGAAGTAGCAGGACGCAATAATGAGACAGAGAACAGAAAATCCCCAATATAGGTATTTGCTGCAAAATGCAAAGAGCTAATGTAAGAACTGCAGGTGAAAATGGGAGGGAGCTGCCTAGTGCAATAGAGGCCATCTACAGGCAAGGCGGGAAGAATTAGTCATCCAGCGCCTCTGAGCGCTCATCACTGACCAGCCCCAGCTCCCTTGCAGACAGAGCTCTACAGGGAGGAACACTCTTGGGAGGGGAATCAAAACCAAGCAGGAAGAATTAGGACAATAGAGATAACAGAAAGGGAAAGTTAATTAAAGCCAAGGATTGTAACTAAGCCAGTACACCTTAGAAGGCAAACTGCCATATTTTGTAGTACAGTGTGAAAAACAAGGTTTGGCTCTGAGGTCAGAGGACCTAATTTGACCCTAACCAGATCTTTAACCCAGGCCTGGCTCATGACAACATGCACTGGAGAAATTCACCGAGTTATAAGGCCCCTCCAAATGTTGATCCCTTTAATTCTAGAGTATCCAAGCCACATTTCACTGTGTTAATATCAACACAATCTCAGCAGAAAAGTGGTTAAATATTAAGAAGCTGTTTCACTTGTTCAAATTTCATAAAAGTGTTTCACTTGTTCAAATTTCAACCATCATAACAAATTCTGCCAGTGTTTTCCTTAAAGGAAAAGGTTAACTTAGTTCATTTCTGAGAACCTGTCTGCCAGATACTCAAGTCTGAATGATGATAGTTTGTCCATTGTTCTTTCAAGTCCGCATGAAGTACCATGGAAAAGCAGTTGGTATAGCTCTCAACTCAAATAATCACACAAATGCATTTCCTTGAACCAATTATTGTATTACCTTAAAAACAGCATATGAAAGAAGTATTTTATGCATAGACCTCATTTCTCCACCGTTTAAAAGATGTGCTCTCAAGGGTGGAGATTTAGTACAGTTAATATTTTTACTAACAAAAACATTCTTAAGTAAAATTGGCATTTTTTCCTGTTGCCAGTGCATGGCAGTAGGAGATGTAATAATGTTAGTGGAGTTTGGTACCACTTGATTCATAATAAAGTGCCAGTTTTGGGGGTTATTTTTACCCATCATGGCTTTTGTACCATCAGTGCAAATGTTGACAGAGTGAATGGGCAAATAAAAAATCTTAGTATAACATCTTAGTATTTTTATGAAGATATATTTTAACTCAGGGACCTCCTGAATGCATCGTAGGGGCCCCCAGGACCCTATTTTGAGAACTACTAGGCTAGATAGATAACAATGTAAGAATCAGTGATGATCACTAAAGGCATGGTTACATACCGACTAAGACTAAACAAGAACTAAAAGGAAGAGAATATAGTATCTAATAGGTATATGTAGGTATAGTGTAAATATAAAAAAGAGAAAGAAAAATTAGAAGAGCATATATATAAAGTTTTTAATGGTTGCAATAATCATACTGGTGTTAGTAGTACCACCAGTTGTTATTCTGAGACTATGATGTGTTTGGTGAGAGAGAGAGAGCAAATTAGAATATTTATCAGATATTCTAATTCTGTACTTTCCAGTGTCTTTGAGAACCAGGATTCATATCTGGAAGAAAGGAGAAGAAACACTAGCAGAGAAAAGAATAAATACTAGTCATGATTTTGCATTGGAAGTACAGTGTGAACTTGTGAGGCAGTTTGCCTTTAATACATGTGTGCATGTATGTATATCGTGCATGTAATAAGTATATCTATGGGTATGTATTTATATCTACTAGCTCTGGCCACTGAAAGGCCTAGAAATTACCAAACCAGTAGCAATGAGCATCCTTGGTACCTAGATTTTGGTCTTACAATATCATTTCCCATTAAAGAAAACTTAAAAAAATTGGACTCTTTTGAAATTGGTTGATACCAGGTTTTGGGCAGGAAACATGAGTCTGGGAAATTTTGAAATACTAAACAGAAAAGAAGCTACCCAAAACTATTGGTTATGTCAAAAGGACTCAGAAGGCAACCTGAAGGGGCTTCCTCTGGCCAAAGATAGAAACCAATAATTATAAATAATTACAAAGAACAATAATTACAATGCATTGATCCATGAAATAGATTTGAATACATGAGTTCATAATTATATTTTTAAAGTAGTGTTAATAATAATATTTATATTATAAATATTGGAAGAAGAAAAAGAAGGATGAGGAAGAGAACTAATTGTTAGAGAATGTTAAGAAGCCACAGCATGGATGGATCTGGAGAGTATTGTGCTAAGTGAAATAAACCAATCAGAGAAAGACAAATACCATATGATCTCACTTATATGTAGAATCTAATGAACAAAATAATTTAACAATCAAAATAGAAACAGAAGCATAGATACATAGAACAGACTGACAGCTATCAGAGGGGCCGGGGCAGGATGAAAAAGGTAAAGGAATTAAGCAAAACATACACACACACACACACACACACACACACACACACACACTTAGACACAGACAACAGAATGGTGATTACCAAAGGGAAAGGGGGTGGAGGGTGGAGGAGGACAAAGTGGGGATAAATGGGGACAGAAAGAGACTTTACTTCGGGTGACGGGTGCATGATGCAGTATGCAGATGACGTTCTGTTCAGCTACACACTGAAACCTGTATGGTTTTCTTAAACTATGTCACCCCAATAAATTCAATGTAAAAAACCTATTTCATTATAGGGATAATAAAGAAAAAGACTCAAGCAGTATTTATCCTGCCTGCTATTTATGAAAGTTACCACTGGGTCACTAAGTAGTAAATGAGAAAAAGAGGTTTTATTAAAAAAAAACAAAAGTGTCCCAATTATTAAGTTAAAAAATCATGATGCTACAACATGGATGAACACTGCAGATATTACACTAAGTAAAATAAACCAGACACCAAAAGACAAATACTGTGTGATTCCACTTATATGAGGTTTCTAAAGTAATAAAATTCAGAGAGACAGGAAGTAGAATGGGGTTGCCAGAAGATGAGAGGAGAGAAGAGTTACGTTTAATGGACACAGAGTTTCAGTTTTGCAAGATGAGAAGAGTCATAGAGACAGATAGTGGTGACCGTTGCCTGGCAATATGCACGTATCTGGTGCTACTGAATCGTGCACCTGAAGATGGCTGAGATGGTAAATTTTATGTTATGTGTGTTTTATCACAATTTTTTAAATTGGAAAAAAATTAAAGAATTAGGATATCACCATTTTCAACATCCAGTGAATTCATAGTTTTAAGAATTACACTGAGATCACACAAAATAGAGAGAACCAAATGTTATATAACGTTATCCATAGCCTTGCTAAGAATATCAGACATGAAACTGACCCAGGTCCTAAATGATAGAAAATAGAGGGCAGAGGGATTTGTTCAACTGCATTATGACTATGCGACCAGCAGAATTCAGACTGTGGGAAACTGTACAGGTCAGACATCCCGATTTTTCAACAAATAAATTGTAGGGATCCTGCATATTAAAAGAGACTTAAAAATACATCAAATAAAAGAATAGTAAAGGGTCAATATAATGTCTAGGAAAGGCCATATGTGGGATAAAACTACAAAAACATGCAAGGAAGTAATTGATGTCAGTGTCTGGGTGGAAAGAGGGCAGGAGTCGTGAGGAAGAGGGGCAGTGAGATGGGCCCAGGGCACGGGAAGGGCTCGGGGATGCCTGGAAAAGTTTCATTTTTTGATCTTGTGATTTCCAGTGTGTCTATCTTATAATAATTTATTAAGGGAAGTTGTGTGTGTGTGTGTGTGTGTGTGTGAGTTTGCGTGTGTGTGGGGGGGTAGTTTTCTGTATCACGTTTATATTTTTATTTTATAATAAGAAAAGGTTTTAAGAAAATAAGTAATTAAAGTATCTTTTAAGCTTTTATAGCCTCAAATTCTATATTTCCTGATGTCTGCTAAGTTCTTCAGACAGAAATTAAGTTTTCTGGACCGCCTATCTTATTGCAAAATATTTGATGTTCAAATTTATATTGACCTCGATATTTGACAAAAGAAATTAAGCTGAGTTGATGTAGATGAACACCTAAAGGCATTCTCTCTCTCATAAGATACAGAGGAATGGCAATCTTAGCAGTTCTGAAAAAGGAACAGTCTCAGGGAGATCTTTTGTTCTAGACTAAACTCAGAATGAAACTGAAAATAATTATTCTTTCTCCTTCCCTCTTCTCTATTCAATTCTTAAGTGTTCAATTAGGCCAATCGGCAGAGAACGCAGGTGCTATGGCGCAGGGAAGGAGGGCGCCCCCCCGTGAGGCCTGCTGAGATCAACAGAAGGAGCAGTTCACTACAGAGAGGAACGGGAGGCATTCTGTAATTCAGAAAGTAAGATCTCTTCACGCTTCAACCCACAGGTAAATAAATGGCATTGTCTCATAGAGGATCATATTTCTCTACCTCTTAAAATCCGTTAAATACGCCAAAATTAATAAAAATGTATTACCTTAAAATAGTAACTTTTGAAGTCTCTGAAAATTACATTGGACTCCAAAAGTGAACTTGAATTTTATAGTTCCTGCCTAATATTTTACAGATGACTTATAGAAGTTCCATTCGTTCTTACAAGGTTACTGAGGAATCATTTAGTAAATTATTATGTTTAGTAAACTTTAAAAAAAAAAAAAATACCTGACTCCCAAAGAGATGATCTTTTTCATTTGAAAAACTTGAGTTAACAAATGGAATTACCATGAATTCACTTATTTCCCTAGTTTGCTCAATAGGTTCAGGGCAATCAAGAAACAGTGGTTATTTTTTTGATGAGGTTATAAGATAATCATTTACTTACCCTCCATGATAGTCAAAGGATCTTCCACTTTGGGGCGCAGGATGTTAGGCCCAAAGACAGTGGCCAAGTTCTGCACACTCATTTTGTTAACTCCTGAATAGGACTGTACTTCATCCAAGAATCTGTTGGGTGTAAGAATGTAAACAAAACACAATGAGGTCACTTTGTCAGCAGAATAAAATGAGTCATTAGAAAATATTTATAAACTGGAGTTTGTTAGCCCTAGCGGGTTTGGCTCAGCAATTAGAGCATTGGCCCGAGGACCAAAGAGTCGTGGGTTCAGTTCCGGTCAAGGGCACGTGCCTCCATTGCAGTTTGGTCCCTGGCCCTGGTGCGGGAGGCAAGCAATAGAGGTGTCTCTCTCACATCAATGTTTCTCTCTCCCTCTCTCCCACTCTATCTGAAGATACATGAAAACATATCCTCAGGTGAGGATTAGAAAACAAACAAGAAAAATCTGGAGTATGTTAAGTGATGATTATGCAGATAAAATTATTTAGAAATTCAAACATCTCTTTATCAAGTGTGGAGAAAATATACTGCAATTGATAAGGAATCAAACGTGAGGGATTCTATCAGATATCACCTCTAGCCTGGCTTGACTTGGCTTCCTCTGTCAGTCACAGAAACAAGTGTTTGAATAATACCAATACTGACTTGAGATCGAAGAATATAAATTCCCTTCTAACCCCTTAATAGAACAATGCATATTCAATTTGAGAATTATGAATCTGGAACAACCCCTTAATTTCAGAGGAAGAGAAGCAACTTCATGCAGTAATTTGGGGGCTTTAAGTCATAGTCTGTTAAAAAATGAGATCAAGCCCTGGCCGGTTTGGCTCAGCGGTTAAAGCGTCGGCCTGCGGTACAGAGAGACCCAGGTTTGGTTCCCGCTAAGGGCACGTACTTCGGTTGCAGTTTGTCCCCGGCCCTGGTTGGTCGTGTGGGTGGCAGCCACTCAATGTGTCCCTTCACGTCGATGTTTCTCTCTCTCTCTCCCTTCCTCTCTCTCCCTCCCACTCTATCTGTACAAAAAATGGAAAAATATCCTCGGGTGAGGATAAAAAAATAAAAAAAAAAATGAGATCAAACATGGTTTAAACTAAAACTTTAGTTCTACTGACATGAGAAATTACAAGCACAAATTGTTTCGATGCATTAGGTGCTAAAGAATCAGAGGCATGAAGTGGCCTTTTCCCTGAATGATTTTAGTGGGAAGGGTGGGTTTTGCACTCTTTCAGCATTTTTTTCATTCCTTATCCCTTCTTCATTTCTGCAAGACCTTCTGTTCTTTCATGGCTTACTGATTGTGCTGATAAGACAAAAAATGATGAAAAATAAAAACTAACATATTTTATATGTTATTTAAGATATTTAATTATGTGTCAGTCATTGTGCTAACTTATTAAAAATTCTCACAGCGTCTCTGTGAGGTAAATACTATTATTGTCTCCATTTTACAGATGAGACCCACAAGGCCCCAGAGGGGTAAAACATCTTTCTAAGGACACACTGTTTATAAGTGGAAGAGCTGAGATTTGAACCCAGGTGTTCTGACTCTAGAGCTGGTACTCTTAATTATGACACCACGACTTTTTCAAAAGGTGCCTCTTTCCACATGTTCATTACTGTTATACAGACTAAACTGCAGCAAAACTAAAGGACAAAAAGCCAAACTACCATTTCTTATTTGAAATAGCTGAAATTAAAAATCTGTTTAAATGTTTCAAGAGAAGTTACGTTTTCCATTGTGAAGATAAAGACTTGCAACATGGTTCTCAAGGAAGCCTTTTTCCTTTTTACTTAAAGAGAATTTAGCCTTTTTATTATGCAGTACAATAGCTTGAATTAGTTAGAAATCTTGGGATGGCAGCCTTGCATGTTAATGAGTCTATGATATCAGTGAAACTACTTTTTGCTTTTTCCAAATCTGAAACCTAAGGTATTGTTAGCTTCTGAAACATAAAAAAAGTTATAGCAGGAGGTTTTGGAATTCCTACTCAGTTACAGTGACCATAAACTCCATAGTGTTTCACAATTATTTTAAACTTCATATTTCCTAGTCTGCTAAACATTTATTGAACCATGAAACAAAAGACATACATAAATGATGTACTATAGGGAATAAACATTTTGAAATTTATTTTGAAATGGACTGTAAAACTATCATTTAAGATACTCCGCGGTCGTGTCGATCATCGATCCCTTTATTTAAATTTCATGTTTCAAAAAAATTTTTTTTAGGGAGAGGAAAAGAGAGAAAGAGACATCAGTGTGAAAGAGAAACATCCATCAGTTACCTCCCATATGGGCCGTGCCTAAGGATTGAATCTGCAACCTGGGTTTGTGACTAGGAATGGAACCTGTCACCTTTCGGTGTATGGGATGATGCTCCGACCAACTGAGCCACACCAGTCAGGGCAACATGTTTGGCTTTTTAAGCAGGAGCACAGACATGGCACCTCCCATCCCGGGCTTTAAGTTAAAAATGGTCACTGAGAGAGCTTCACTAGGCACAACTATTTTTCTAACAGAACTGAATTGAAAATGTCCTTTCAATGAGTCTTCAGGTGGGAGAGGAAGAAAAAGGAAACATTTAGTGAGCATTTACTACATATGCATTAATTAGTGGAGGGAGGCACAGGGGGGACATCTGTAATAGAGTCAACAATAAAAAATATATGTACATATATTTCCATTAAGAAAAACTATATATATAACTTAACTTTTAAAACAACTGTGCGAGATGTGTGTTTTTACTATCATTAACCTACTAGGACTCTTAGACTCAAAGAGAATAGGAAATTGCATAAATATACACAAGTAGGCAGTTAGTGGTAGAATCAGGCCCCCCATGCAAATCCATCTCATGCTTAAGAGCATGTTCCTCCTCTCAAACAAGAGTACATGATGCACGTACAAACACCTCTGACCAGTTCAAAGCAACATCTCTTTACTATGTAGAGCTAAGAGAGACTTCGGAAACAACAAATTACAAAATCATGCAATTTTAATGCTCAAATAAACCTTTGACATCACTTTGTCAATCCTCTTAATTTTACAAAGGCCAACATCCCAGTTCAGAGCAGTAAAATGATTTTATTCACTGTCAAACATAAATTAGTGTCAGGCTAAATATAGTCTAGTTTAGGACAATTCTTACCTGCAAATATACTTGAGGAGGTTATAATTGACCACCGGCAAACTCTTCACCTGCTTTGCTAATTCTTTAACACCCTGAGTATAAAGAAGAAGAGAATAAACATTATCTTTCTAAGTGCTGGTCTTGGAATTAAAGCAAATGAGAAATGGACATACAGTGCTGGTTTAAAAAATAATAATTTCACACATTATCAGTGAACGACTGTGCCCTGAAAACTCGCTACCATCACTGAGAGGATTTTAGAAATATTTTCAAAGATGTGAAAAGATTTCAAATATTTCCATAAGTACTATTTGTGGAGATACAGATTTAAGTAAAGCCCTTTTAAGATGTTAAACATTTGTTCACATTTGCCTGAAAGGGGATAGATAGCCTCACTCATTATACATTTTTTTGGGAGGGGGAAGCTGAGTAGCCTTGATGTAGTGAGAATCCTTCCCATTTTCAGCATGTCCCAAAACACAAACACACATCTACAGACAAATAAGTCTGTCAACACTGTCATGTCTAGGCTACATCGTTTGGGATGGGATGGAGGGTTAGAAGGCCAGATCTTTCTGAAATTTCACAAAGGGAATAAATACTTTGTTTCTTCTCATTGTAGAACTTCCTCTAAAATATACATGGTCCCAGACAAGCTAATAGATGATGTAATCTCATTTTTTCTTTTCCTTGTAATGGGCCAGACAGTAAGTATTTTGAGCTTTCTGGGACATCTGGTCTCTGCCTCAAATATTCACCTCTCCTGCTGTAGTGGAAAAGCATCCACAGACATCATATAACAAACAGGCAGCGATTCTGACAAGAGTGCCAAGAAAAGCCAACAGGGAAAACAATAGTTGCGTCAACAAATGGTGGTGAAATAACTGGATATCACATACCAGGGAATGATATTGGACCTGTTCCTCACACCATAAATAAAAATTAACTAAAAATGGAGCATACACCTAAATGTAAGAGCTAAAGTTATAGAAGTCTTAGAAGAAAATAATGGGCCTAAATCTTTGTGGTCTTGGGTTAAACAAAACCTTCTTAGATATGCAAGTAAAAGCACAAGTGACAACCCAGCTGGTGTGGCTCTGTGGACTGAGTGTTGTCTCATCGACTGGGAGGTCCAGGTTTAATTCCCAGTCAGGGCACATGCCTAGGTTTTGTGCCCAATCCCCAGTAGGGGGCATGTAGGAGGCAGCTGATTGATGTTTCTCTCTCTCCCTCTCTAAAAAATAAATAAATAAATAAAAACATATGTTTAAGAAAAGCACACGTGACCAAAAAAACATAAATTAGACTTTATCAAAAGTAAAATAAAAACTTTTGTGTTTCAAAGGACATCCATCAAGAAAATGAAGAGACCATCCATAGAATGGGAGACAATATTTTCAAATCATACATCTGATAAGGAACATGTATCTAAACTATATAAAGAACTCTTACATCTTAATAAGATAAATAACCCAAATAAAATGAAAAAATGATCTGAATATGATGTTTCTCCAAAGAAAATACACCCATAGCCAATTAAGTACATGAAAAGATGTTTAAAATCATTAGCCCTCAGGGAAATGCAACAAATACCTCAATGATATATACCATTTCACACACATTAGAATGGCTATGATAAAAAAGAGAGATAACAAGTGTTGGCAACAATGTAGAGAAATTGGAACCTGCACACACTGGAATTTTAAATGGTGGAGCCTCTTCAGAAAACAGTGTTACATACGGCCCAGCAATTCTACCTCCCAGATACAGACCCAAGATAAATGAAAACACATGTTCAGAGCAGCATTATTAATAATAGCCAAACAGAGGAAATAACACACATGTCCTGAAACTGACAAATGGATAATGGAACATTATTTGGAAATAAAAGGAATAAAATACTGATACATGATACAATGTGGACAAACCTTGAAAGCTGTGGAAGAAGCCAGTCACAAAAAAAAAAAAAAACATATTGAATGATGTCATTTACATGAAATGTCAGGAATAGGCAAATTTATAGAGATAGAGAGTGGATCAGTAGTTGCCAAGAGCTGGGGAAGGAGAGCGTGGGGAAGAGGTATGAGGTTTGCTACGGGGTGATAAAATGGGCTAAATATTCTACAGTGAGATTTTGGTGATAGTTGCACAACTCTGTGAATATACTGAAAAGCTCTGAACTATAAACTTCAAATGGGTGATCGTATAATATCAGAACTGTATCTCAGTACAGCGATTTTTACAAAGACGTGCGGTAGGCAGGGTTTCTTAGGAGTCACTGTTTAAATTAGGCGATTAAAGAGGCACACACTTATAAAGGAAACACAAATAAGTCCTCCACTTTGTTCGCAGACTGTTTGGCATCACAATGAACTTTTGGGGGAAAATAGTGGCAAGGAGTGCTAATTTCACTTATTCAGCCACATTTTTATTTATTTTTTAATGCAAGAGGGGATTAAAATGGGACCCGAATTTTGTGTGTCGAGCCTAAATGTGTGACACCGACACACAGAATAGTGGAACACCATCCAGGCACAGGGCAAAGGAAAGTTTACAAATGAAAGACAGAACCCTGACAAAACCCTCCAACAAAAGATTTCCTAGAAATAAATGTGCAAGGACTTACTGCTTCCTCCTCCTTGCTGAGCAGTTTGGCACAGGACAGGAAATCTTCATACTTCGCGTAGGGAATGACAGGCTCTGGAAGCTCCCGGAGATAGAGTTTGAGAAGCGACGCCACCGTGTGCACGTCCGTGTTGCTGTGGACACACAAGTGTGAAGATCATCTCTGGACTGACCCTTAGAGCTTGGCATTTCTTTTTCAAATCGGATACATATCTAAGTGTCAGAATTCTATATGCATTGGCCACTGAGCCCCCCCGTCCAGCCTTGAAGAAGCGCGCGCTTAGGTGATGCCCACGCCCCGCGGCCGCGGGTGGAAAGGACCGGGACTCGGAAGGAGGCGCAATTCTCCGTGTGGTTTGAACACATTGGAAAGTCCAGCATTTTGCTTTTCTGTGTATTGGATGTTAAGCAGAAGTGTTAACCTGTGAAAACAATGGATATATACCAGACTTTAAATAAAATAGAATATAATTGACAAAAAATAACAAATCTACATGTGTATTCAGTGTCAAAATTAATGACTTCTGAATCTTAACTGTATTTTTCAAAATATGCCACTCATTTTTGAGAAGACCTTGGTGACTGGTTATGGGCGCCTGAAGCTTGGTGTGACATACCACAGCTCTGCAAGCAGAGCTCACTCTGAAAATGATTGATTCTCAGAATGACTGACTGTCTAATATGCCAAGATAGTTGGGGACCCTTGGAGTCTTTTAGAAAGAGAAGGAAAGTGCTACAAAAATAAACAATGAAAATTTAGCATGACCTCTGTGTAACATGCAGAACTTATTTTTATTCTCTGCTGAATATCTGAGTGGCAGGATAATTTACTGGAGTATTATTTTATATGTTGTTCTTTGTTTTTCTTTATTCCCTGTTAATCCATGAAGATGGCTGACAGGAAGATAGAAAGAGGTGGGGTTGTCTTTTTTGTTGTTGTTGTTGTTGTTGTTTTGGTTTGGGGTTTTATTTGGAGGGAGGGGCACAGGAACATGGGGAGGAGAGATGAGCAAGGAGTAAAATGATCGATTGATTCCCACAAAGAGGAAAGATGGTGGTGAACAAGGTCAGGGATTCCGTAAGTGATGAGAACATACACCCACTCCCAGACCACACTGCAGGAAATGGCAAGTTCCCGGAGGGATATATCTCGACAAGCTGGAATACAGGCCCTGGAATTTCCTGCCTCAGTGGATCTCTTGCCCCAAGAGTACATGAAAGCAGAGTTGACTTCGCCAAACTACATGGGATGGGCAATGAGCCTTTCAGGTCTCGGTTGGGGACTCATGGTTGATTTCATCAGATATTTCCCATACACCCATTCTGTATTAGCTGTTATAGAAAACACAGTGGCTAGGACCCCAAGGAGTTAAAGGAAAGTATTATCCTTTCATTGATTTTAGAGAGAGAGGAAGGGAGAGGGAGAGAGAAATAGAAGCATTGATGAGAGAGAACATCGACTGGCCTGCATGCTCACCACTGGGGATGTGGCCCACAACCTGGGCATGGTGCCCTGACAGGAATCAAATCAGTGGTCCATGGGTCGATGCTCAACCACTGAGCCACACCTGTCAGGCAAGGAAAGTATTCTACCTGCTTATAATTTATAACCTAGTGGGGGCAGCAGAGAGTAAGCAGATAATGATATGAGTACATATCACAAAACGTGGTGAGTGGTAATAAAGAGAAGTATCGAATCCTATCTAATTTCATGAGGACTAATCTAGAGGTTGTTTCTCTGAGGAAATGATGTTTGGGCCATGATCTGAAGTGTGTGTAAGAATTAACGAAGTGAGAACTGAAGAACAGAAGGAAGCCTTCCTGATTAATGCAAAGCAGATAAACAAAGCCCAAAGTGGGAGGGAGCATCCTGTCCTTGAGGAGCTGATAAAAGGCAAGGGAGACCAGACCTCAGAGTGGGACTAGATGAGGTGTGAGCAGCGGCAGGCAGAGCCCTCATGGACCATGGGACTTCACCTACTCAGAATTAGACAGGGCAAGGACTGAGGGTTTCCATTTTCACACTGAAGTCAGTTACAAAAGGCATGCTGTCAATCATTTTGCAGATATTAAAATAATAGAGACCCTGGCCGGTTTGGCTCAGGTTGGAGCGTCGGCTTGCGGACCAGAGAGTCCCCGGTTCGGTTCCCGCTAGGGGCATGTACCAAAAATAAATAAATAAATGAAATGAAATAATAGAGGTGATCTGATAGGGCCTGCCATAACTAACTAATTTAAGTCTTCTCACAATTAAATATTTTTTTCTCTTAAAATTCTAAACTGATAAGCAATGTAGAAGTCATCTCAAAGGCTAGTAAAGAAAATAAAAATCACGTCTCCGGGATGTTTGAAAATTATGACCAAGCTCATTAATTCCTAAAAGCACTTTCAAAAAAATTAAAAAAAAAAAATAGACCTAAAATAATTTCAATGTTAAGACGAGAAAAATACTACTGTTTTTCCCTGGCAAACATGCATATCAAAACCCTTCTGTATTTCTTGTGCTATGTTGAAAAGTACCTAACCCCTGAAGGTGCAGTCGTCAGTAGTAACAAAACCACAAACTAGGAAGGACAAGCAGTTCAACCAAGTATTAAAAATAAACTATTTCCACCTTTGGATTCAACTCGAATCCAATCTCCTCTAATCCAACCCAATTTATGACTGTGTTGGGTTGTATAGCCTTTAAAGTCAATGCCAATGTTGTTAAGTTATAGGGAGATACAGAGAGAAATATAAATATAAAATAAGTTTAATTTCAATATATGGAGTATATTATGTATAATTGTATGACCACATAGAGTATATAACCTATTTATGATATAAAGACAATAAATAAGGCAACAATAATTAATAACAAATATATATTTAACAAGAAGTCTGTTTAACTACTTATTACATGGACTCTCCCCAAGCGCACTGTTTTTAAGGTAACTTGCTTTTTTATTTTTATTTTTTCATGTTTTTCACTGCCTTTGATCTGGTTTTTATTCAAAATTAGCTGTTCAAAGTGATTTGACCTTTATGGAATAAACAAATTAAGTTAATGTGCAGGCTTCTTTTCTTCTGTGTTGGGTTTCTTTTCTAGGGGCTGCTGCTCGGCTGCTGGGATCTTGGTAGCTACCACCTTTTTATTTCCTGTACAGTCGTCCCTCGCCACTTTGTGCTTCGACTTTCGTGGCTTCACTCTATCGCGGTTCTTCTCAAATACAGTCATTAAAAAGATGATAGAGACAGTGAAAATGACACAGTGCGCACTCGGTTGTCTGAGTCAATTATACACCCCTGTATTACAATTACAATTAAAATTACTGTAGGCCTATGTATTCGAGCACCCCAGGAATCCTTCAATGCCAGGTGCAACCGCTAGAGTCTGGAACCGATTAACCGCGAGGGACAACTGTATTTGCTTCTAATGAAGTCGTGTTATTGCACTAATGACATTTGAACACTAGATGGCGCAAGTGCAAAGTTAGAGTAATCGAGATGGTGTAAAAATTGTGAAGGATGAAAGGCTGCAGAATCATTCTTCATCCACCAGCAATGTTCTTAGTTCCAAAGCTGCAGTAATTTTCCAGGAATAGAAATATCTGAGCTATGAATCAAGGTAAGAGATGTGGGCTGGGATGATTATATTATCCCTTCCCTAAAGTGATATGTTACATTTGCTTTTTAGTATTATAGTTATACATACCTGCTGTTATATAGAAACAATGAAGAAAAATTACATCTTTTTTTTTTTTTACTAGCAAATGTTATTAAATTTTTGCTTAAAGGATAAAACTTAAATTTATGACTCTTTTGGGGGCTTTATTAAGCTTAGATTATTTTGTAGGCAAAGAGACTCCTACATTTTCCTGGAATTCTCATTTTGGGCTCTGTCCTCACCCACCGAATGTTAGAAGACAATCACTTCTGGACAGACTCCAACACATTTATTCGCCAGTTCTGATTCACCTCTAGAGCCTCACAGCGCATCTGCGCTGATTGCCAGTATGCTACCTACTACAATAAGAAGTCTGGGGTTTCTCCAAACAAAAGCCCCTTGGCACATCCACTCCACAACACAGCAACCTTCAGCTTGACAGCTCTCACTGAAAACCCATTACTTTGCCTAATTAATATTTGCTTATAGCCAATTAGGTAAATACCAATTAAGATGACTTCGATATTGTCTGTTTAGAATTTTAAGAGGAAAATATTTATTTAATTATGAAAAGAATACAATTAATTAGATAAGACAGCTCCTATCAGATCACCTCTATTATTTTAACATCTGCTATTGTGTGTTAATTGCCCAGTATACCTGGAAAAACTTGCTATTTTGTCTCAGAGTAATCTATCTCAGTCTTCACAGAGTGAGGTGACCACATTGTGGCAAATGCTGGTGCACATGTAGAATGAAAACCCCTAAACCTGGTTAACAGTAGTACTAACAGCAGCAGTAGTACACACCTGTGCGCATCTCTTTCTGCATCAGGCCTTGGTAGTTGTTCACTGAGTGGGTTCTGTTAGTAGCCCTATTTAGGGCACTTGAACAGGAAACTGCACATATATGAAATTCTTTTTGGCTAATTACTGGTATATGCAGATTTTCAATGTAATAATACACTTTTAGTAGAAATTCAAAACGATGTTAATGTAAAATAATTATATAAACCTCAGGTCTCTTTCACTTACTGGGCAGTACAATCTATTTTCAGAAGTTAAGATAAATAATCATGTACATTCTATTCAGTGACAGCAAAGAGGCAGAGAGGCCCAGGGATCCCAAGTAAAGGACCGGAAGATGCTCTGCAGCAGATGTCCCTTAATTGATCAACATATGGGTTTTGTTTACATCTTATATTGTGCTTGTACTTCTGAATTCTATAGTGCTTTTTATTACACTTAAAGGAAGGATTCTGTGAGACTTCCCACAACTGACCTAGTTTTAAACTCTCAGAGGTCTTCCTTTGGTCATTCTGAGATTATTCTAGAAATCATGACTTCACCAAACAGTTTACGAACATTTATGGTGTGTACCGCCCATACCACATCCTAGGTGAAGCAGAGCAACAGCAGAGACCTTTCTTATCCCTCTTGGGCTTATATCTCTAACTGATTGCAACAACACGTTTCCAATCCATTTCTC